TAATGTGAGGCAGGTCCTAACATGCCCTTTTCTTTACTCTTGTAGGGGCGCAGAGCAATGTGGGCGAGGCCTGCTCCCTTTCCCCAGAGGCCCTGGGTAAGTAATTTTACATTTCTGCCATAAGGTATAACCTTTTTGTTAGAGAGGTACACATAGACTTATTGTGCCTTATTGTTACTTAATGCAGACCATGTTCAGCTTTTTAAAATAGTGTACCTTATATAGTTTATGTTTTTATAGAGGTTTCTAAATGGAAAATATCATTTGCTTTTCAGAAAAATACTTTGAAGAAGAGCATATAGACTTATTGCGCCATATTGTCGCTTAATGCAGACCATGTTCAGTTTTTAAAATAGTGTGCCTTATATAGTTTGTATTTTTATAGAGGTTTCTAAATTGAAAATATAATCTCCTTTCAGAAAAATACTTTGTAGAAGATTTTGTTGCCCCAACGAAGAGACCATCCCCTAAACTTCATAAAGCAATTTCCAAGAAACCAACTCCTGTTAGGGCTCAGCCCCGCATCTACACCTTTAAAAGAAAGAGAAATAACAATGGTATGTTCTCAGCATTTTTATATTGGGGTGTTTGCATGTATGATGTTTTAACAGGGGAATCGCTCCTTTGTCTTATAGAAAATTAAATTACAGTTTTGAGGGGGGGTTTACAGGGATAGACGTCTAGAAAGGTCTTGCTTCGTTGTAATAAATTAATATCTGCACCATGTTTATCTTCACATGTAATCAAAGACAATGTTTCTGTTGTGACTGATTTCAATCACACTGTCAAATACCCCATATAAGCTGCTTACGGGCCTGTTTAGAAATTCACCGCCATGGTCCGTCTGTATTTTGTCAGGTTTTCTTCTGTCTTGTTTGAAAATAGCATCAAAAGCTTTGGCCACTTCTTTGCCTGTTTTGCCTTTGAGAGCTTTCGTCCAGCTGTACTTAGAAAGGACGTCAATGCATACCAGGATATACTGGTAGGCCTTGTACTGAGTAAATGGTTGCATATCGACCAAATATGCCTGCCATTGAGCATCTACTTTTGAAACAATGGTCTTCTTTTTAAATGAACTCTAGCCGGTCTATGCAGTGTATAGACATCATGATTAGAAAGCCATTGAGAAACATCCTCTACTTTCAATGTTTTGATCTGCTTTTTGGCTTCCCTAAATAGAGGGTTTAGACCCCCAAAACTCCCCACTGATGAGGATGCATAATAGATATTGTGTAGTATTTTCCCCTGTGCAGCCATCTCAACCGTTAACACAAATATGAACAAGGTATGGTACAATAAATGCTCTTTATTAAAAGACAGTATATTACAAGGGTATTGTAAAGCAATCATTTAACCTTCGGGGCAGTAGAAAAAGGATAGATTACAGGATAGATTACAAGCTGTATATGTAGAAACACATGCAATACAGGATAGATTTACAGCATGTATATTCATTCTCATCCTCAGCATCCCGAGTCTTCTTCGGTGGATGAGAATTAAACAACATCGTCTGCTGATTTCAGATCAGTTCTGTTTGGCCCATAGCCCATGTCCACAATCGCACTCAAGCTCATTGTCCTCATCATCCTGAGCTTTCTCCTGTGGGTGAGAATGAAATAACCCTTTAGTAAGGTTTTTTAAAGACCTTAAACCCCCTAACATGTCCCATATCTATAGCTTTTAGAAAATGCTCTTACCTGGCTGACTTGATGCTCTGCATCACTCTCAAAGACTTCACCTGAAGCCTCTTCCACCATCAGATCCTCAGGGCCATTTGCATTCCCTGCAAAGCCCGGTTTCGCCAGCACACAGCCATCCACGTCCTCTGCTAATTTCAGGGCATCACCAGTTGACTTCTGTAAAGCTCTTTGTGACCATTGTCCACAATCGCACTCAAGCCCATCCTCCTTATCATCACCCCACATCAGGGTTCAGGCCAGCTTTCTTGTGCTTTTCGGCTTCTGCTTTGGCTTTGCGGTAAGTACAAATATGTCTTCTGCAGACCAGTATTTTCTTTTTAGATTTACTGGGTCTTCAGGCAGCATTCCCCTGAGACTTGCAGGGGGTCCTAAGTGGCACAGGGGCTTGGAAAAACCCAAAGGTCCATAGTGGTAACCTTGGGGGTGCAGGCACCTTTTGGCTTTCACTGGGGCCTTTTGGCTTGTCCTAGGGAGCTGGTTTTCCTTGTCCTCCATCTTCTCCAAGCCGCACCAGTCTCTGCAAAGAGCGGCAAGCATGTGCAGAAGGCCCCCCAAACCACTGCTGTGGAATTTCAGCAACCGCTGTGGAGTTTCAGCGCCAGGCATAGCAACTGCTGTGGAGTTTCAGCGCCAGGCAGCCTATGGCCACCCCCTTTCAAGCTAAACCCCTCCAACCTTGCGCATGCCAAGGCATGCCCTATGGCCACCCCCTTTCTAGCCAAGCCCCTCCAACCTTGCCCCATTGGCCCACAGGACTGCGGGGGTGACATGTCACTTCAGGGGCCAATCCTGAGCCTGCGCTCTGGTCACGGGGGTCCCCGGCATCTATGAACCCTTCTTATAGGCCCATTGTGGCCTCAACATCACCCTAAAGCCACACCCACCCAGGAGGAGGGACCTGGTTCAATTCTTGACCCTTCCCCCCCCTTGCAGGGGCAACACACCTGTCAAAAGTGATTTTGATGAATGCTAGGTAGTATTACTACTCACTCTCATATATGAGCAGATTTTGTAGAGGCAAAGCAGATGCTTGGAAGCCAAAGAACTAAGCTCGGCCTCAACATCACCCTAAAGCCACACCCACCCAGGAGGAGGGACCTGGTTCAATTCTTGACCCTTCCCCCCCCTTGCAGGGGCAACACACCTGTCAAAAGTGATTTTGATGAATGCTAGGTAGTATTACTACTCACTCTCATATATGAGCAGATTTTGTAGAGGCAAAGCAGATGCTTGGAAGCCAAAGAACTAAGCTCGGCCCTACCAGCAGATTTTGTAGAGGCAAAGCAGATGCTTAGAAGCCAAAGAACTAAGCTCAGCCCTACCAAAGGAACAGTCAGCTTTTTGTGAGACATTTATTCATTTATGATGGTGACCCGATAGCAGGAGGGTGTGTTTCTCCTCCTGCTTGGTTGGGTTTTCTTTCCTATTTGCTTTCTTTCCTTTTGCTTTCTTTGTTTTTTTCTTGGTTTCTTGCATCCTTTTCTGCAGCTGCTTTTTATTCTCTTATCTCTACTGCAACAGCAACAAACATTACAACTACAATTCTTGCCACCTCCACCACTATCACCGGAGAGTAAGAACAACAGCGCTGTTGCAGGTGTTTGCCACGCTTAGTCTCATGGTTACCCGGGCTTAACGTGCTGGCTGCCTCAGTGTCGTCTGACACTGTGAACTTCTGTGTCATCCTGCACGTTTTCCCCATTCTGCTTGCAGCTTTACTCGGGCAGGTTTCCCAGCAGGGACCCGCGCTCAATGCCTGCTTCCCAACCTCCATTGACACCATTGTGAGGTGGCCTCGTGGAGATCAAGCTCTACTCGTGGTTGGGAGCTGCACTTCATCTGGGAGCATGTGCAGATCTCACACTGCCACCAGGGCCCTGTGCTGTTCCACGAGAACCACTACCTGGCATCCAATGCCCTGCATGCGCTACAGCGAATGTGGACAAACCAGGCTTGTGACTGCCTGGTCTTCGAACTGCTCTCACTGGACATCTACATGCTTGTGTGCAGGCTCTTGGTGACAGGGGGCCCTTAAGACCCGAAAGTCAAGCAAACTCAACATGGGCTTGGCTTTTGGGAAGTCAAGCAAACTCAACATGGGCCTGGCTTTTAGCCACAACAACTATAAGCAACCACTGGCCTATTTCAAGGCTTCCTGCATCTATGACAATTATATCTGAGTCTGGATTTTGCAGTACCTGACACCTAGGTGTGGTTTGCGTAGGGCTGAGAAAATATCAGCACATTTCCCCCACTCTGGCTGCCTTGCATTGGCTGCCCATTCATTTCCGCATTGATTTCAAAGTGTTAATGATGACATATGAAGCCCTAAACGGTTTAGGACCTCGATATCTAGCGGAACATCTCCTCCCACCTAGATCTACCGGAATCACTCGTTCTAGCCAGGAAGGGCGGCTGAGGGCCCTAACGCCGAGGGAGGCTCAGAGAGAAAGAACAAGAAAATGGGCCTTCTCAGCAGTGGCCCCTCAACTCTGGAACAGTCTGCATGCAGAGATATGCCTGGCTCCCTCGCTGGGTGTTTTTAAGAGCAAACTTAAGACCTGGCTTTTTAGGCAGGCTTTCCATCCTGTTATCACCTGATTACTTTTGCCATCTTGAATTGTATTATTACTGTTGTCTTTATTTTATTATATTGTTTATACTTTTATCTATTACTGTTAGCCACCCAGAGTAGACTTCGGTCTAGATGGGCGGAGTATAAGTTGAATAAATAAATAAATAATTTAGAATATTTTTACCATGTCTTTCTCCTAAAAAAGGACCCAAGATGGCTTACATAATTAAAACACAAAATTTAAAGCATACAACTGTACATCTTGCTGTTAGAACTGAGGCTGCTTCCGTCCTCGGTTCACATCCCAACATGTATAACAAAGCCCTCCTCATGTTGCTGCAGTTGTTTTCATGAAAAGCATCTCCAAGCGACTCTGATGGTAAGAGGAAGATGTATGGGGAAGAAGGCAGTTATTCTTCTCATGCTGCCATTTTTTACACAAAATCATATGTGCTTTTCCTTATGTATGCATCTTTACCAGAGAAAATATGTACAGGGGGAAGGAAGCAACTGTGAAGATGCCTGAACACGAAAAGAGTAAAGAGAGAACTCCCTCCCCCTCTCAAAATAACAATTTCTCATGGCTACTTCTCACTACAATATACTCCATTAATACACATTTAAAAATAAAATTTAAAATGTAAATCTGGGCCACAATTACAAAAAGAGCAACACATCAACACATCTTTTAAAACTAACATTTAAATGCTCACTAGTCTGTTTACCTCTTGATGGCTGAGATGGAAGGTGTCATTACCCCAGTGTCGATAGAGCTCCAGGATGCCGATCAAATCACCAAGTGCAGTAACAATTGGTAAACAAAGTACAGACTTTATACGAGTTCCTGATTCCAAACCGGTACCTTTAGGAAACCGCTCATCCTAAAACAAGCAAGCACAATTTTATATTAACAGCACAACATTTTTTCCATCTTGTATTAAACCTGTGCCAATTCTGTGTGTAAATATGGAATATTCTCAGTTGATACCTTAAACACAACCTAGCTTTCACCTTAAACAGCAACTCCCAACTTTGGCTACCCAGGTGTTCTTGGGCTAAAACTCCCAGAAGCCTTCACCACTAGCTGTGCTGGCCAGATTGCTGGGAGTTGTAGCTCAAGAACATATGGGAAGTTTGGGAACCACTGATCTTACAGTTCTTGGTCATCACAAGTGAAATATTTATGATTTACCTCAAAATTGTAAAGAGGAATGTCAGAGTAGTGTTATTACTAAAATGTTATTGAAACCATTGACTGCTGACTCTAGATGCAGCACAGAAGCTATTAGCTATGTTGACACATGCACTGGACCTGATCAATCACAGCTGATTCTTACTCTCTTGCATCCTGATCTGATCAAGCTTTCGCTTGAGCAATTCTCAGTGTTCAAATCTGTATAATTACATTTTACCTGATGTTCTTAAATAATGCCCACATTCTTATCAATAGTACATGCTCTTACTAGAAACAGCTGAATATAAATTTAACTGAGGGTGGAATCAGACAGGGTTTTAGATCACATTTTGGAGCATGGCAGATGACATGTTGTAGATTGCGAACCGGACTGACCTTGCTCCATCCCCCTCTTCAGATCTTTTTCGTCAAATGCCAGGGCTCTTCTAATTTGGGGGTGAGCTGGTGCAATCCGGACTGGACAGAAGAGTCACTTTAAAGTGACTTTTAAAAAATTGTACCCTGGAGGGGACCATTTCTGACACAATCCAGTGCAACTTATATGTCCCATCTAATCACAAAATGAGTTGTAGACTGTTGCTCTGATATACACAGTACTGCCAATGTGTTTTGTATGAAGGAAGCATTTGCATAAATTAGACAATGGAATAAATGGGTATTATAATACTAGGGTCCTTCTCAAATGCCATGTGTGGGATGCCTTTACAGTATGAAAGCTTAACTCTACTTGATTCTTTTAAATATATTCTAAAGTAAATTAAATGTAGTGCTGTAAATGTTTACTTGGAATAACTGCCACTGAGTACAATGAACTACCTCTCAGATAAATGCTTAGAGGACCTCTGCTAAAAATCACAGATGTATGAATATCTGCTCAGAAGTCCCACTGACTTTGACAGGGCCTACTCCTCAACAGGCATATACAGACCTGCAGCTCAATACAGAGGGGACAATAAAAATGCCAGCTCCACACTGATGTATTTCAGGGGTTTGATCTTGGCATCTCCTAAGGAAAATGAAGTCGTTGTTGTTCCAGTAGGTCTAAGGCAGACTCCGGTTTCAAAGAACACATCGTATTATGGATTGCAGTTTAAAAAAAAAAAAAAGAATTACCAGTATCGTATCTGTACCCACTGAACTCTCTGCAGAGAGACTATGGAACTTTGTGTACTGCGCACTGCTCTGGGAGAATACCTTTGTGCATGGTGGGGAACTCATGTGGTATTTAACTCCACCCCAAACAACAGATCCACAGGTTTGTATTGTTCTGTCCATAAAACATGACCAAAAAAAAATTACCCCCAAAATATCTTCTACTAATAATGTTTTCCTAGACTTGGCTACATGTGCAGATACTGTGGTGCCAAGCTTAATGGGTCCTACAGGAACAAGTTGTGGTTGTCCATCCTTTATTCCCGGTGGCGTGAACACACAAAGGCTCTGAGGGAGAGAACAAAACAGGACTGCAGTTAAAATATCCGTTTCCACATTAAATCAGTTTTTTTAAAAAAATTGCAAATGTCAACAATGGGGGTAATAAATATGTCAGCTCTACACCCATGTATTTGAGGGGGGGTCTGGTCTTGGCATCTCTCATGGAAATGAAGTCATTTTTGATCAAGTAGGTTTACAGCAGCCTCCAGTCCCCCCCCTTTTTTATCTTCCTTTTCACTTCACTGTATTTTTTTTCTATTTCATCACTGATAATCGAAATATCTGAAATGTAGCAATATTAGTAATCATTTTGTAGACTAGCCAAAAATATATCATGATCGAAGACAACATGCAAGCCCAAAACTCATGCCAATACCCTACCACATGTACAATCAATATACTGGAACAACATGTGAGTGTAATTATGTAACCACATTAAACAGAGGGGTAAATTTAAACAAGTTTCAAAGTGAGAAGGAACCTGAACAGAAAGTTGTTTTTCACTAGTGTGGGAATAAGATTAATGCTAGCAGAAATGCAATGTACACTGGTGTCTATAAACAATGTCTGAGCACTCTTCTACCATGTTCTTAGAAGTTTTTTTAAGCATACTGCCTTATGGGCCATAAAGTAAGTGCCAGATTAGAAAGCTATAATTCTGCTTTCCCACATTATTCTCTGATCCTCCTCAGTAATCAGTTCAAGTCGTGTTTTTTTCTGACAGTAATATAGTGTTATCTGAATATCTTCAAGTGATTATTTTTTCACCAATTCTCACTCTTTCTTCCTCTGAATCCAATCCAGCTTTTAAAATATGTTCTACACATAAAGTAAAGTAATGGGGAGGTAATACAGATCCTTGTTTGATACGTTTGCCAATTGGCAAGTGTTCTCTTTCTCCTTAATCTGTCCTAACAGCAGCTTCTTGTGAAGATATTGGCTGCACAATCAAATTTTATAGCACATCCATATCTCTTACAATGATCCACAGCTTTTCATGATCCACACTGGCAAAATTTTTGCTATAATATATAAAGCACACACTGATTTTCTTCTGAAATACAGTGGTGCCGCGGAAGACGATTTTAATTTGTTCCACGAAAATCGTCGTCTTGTGAAAAAATTGTCTTGCGAGGTTCCCTATACATTGGTCGCAAAAAAAAGTCTTGTGAAGCATCGGTCTTAAAAAAAAGTCTTGTGAAGCACTGGTGTAAAAGAAAACGTCTTGCAAAGCACGGTCATAGAAAAAAAAACCTCTTGCGAGGCACCATAATGATCGCAAAAACCAATCATCTTGCAGTTTTTCATCCCACAAGGCAATCATCTAGCATGGCACCACTGTACTTTGATATACTGTATTTCAGCAGTCAATGGTTAAAATCCTGTTGTAAACAGCTCTTGGTAAGCCCACTGAATTAGTGTGAGGATGGCTCACTTTCCTTCCTTCGCTCACACCCAAGTTCCATTGATTCAAATGGACCAACTCTAACTGCAGCTTCTTTTAGCATAGTAAATCACAGTCAGGGTAAGCACATTTGAATCAATGAAACTTATGGGAGAGTTGACTCATTAAAAAATAATTGACTCAACTGGCTTACTCTAATGTAATTTACAACCATAAGCAACAGGATTTTGGCCAGTGTTTATTTGCATTACAATTACTTGTGCCTTTTCTGAACCTGATTTGAATATCTGGTGTTCATTTGTATATGTTAAACAACTTTGTTGTAAAATCTTGGGCATCACTTAGCTTGTATGGGAAATTAATGCAATGATTATATAGCTCTATTAACTGTGGTCCCACAGTTACTCCAATCCCTTTCTTTGGAACTGAAATGTATAGTGAACATGCTCAATCTGTGGTTTGAGCATGTTGTTGGCAAATTCCGTTAAGACATATTCAGTCTCTGTAGGCTGGAATAGTTCTACTGGCATCCTGGCAATTTATTTCTTCCAACTGCTTTGAAAGCAGCTTTCACTTACCTTTCTAAAACTACCAATGGCTCATTCTTCAAAGAAATCTGTCATTTTTGTAGCTCTTCTGTAATTTTTTTTCACTGTACAGTATTTTTTCTATCTTCCTTTTCACTCCCTCCCCCCCCCATCATATAAGATATTCCTCTGATGATCCTTCAGCATCCCTAATCCTTGTTTAAATTTGTCTTTGATTTCTTGGATCTTATATAACAGATCCTGTTTTTCCTTCAATGTTGTTATCTTATACTAATTTCAAATATTATTATAATTCTCTTTGTCCCTCTATGTAAAATGGATATGGTTAAAAAAAATTGCATATAATTTTCTCGTTTTATTTGTGTCACCTTTTCCTTCTGCTTCTCTTCTGGCTTTAATGACTTCAAGAGAACAATCAGTTATCCATTGTTGGCCATTTTGTAACATCCATGTGTACAACTGACTATTTAGTTACCTGAAGCATACGTTTCCAATTAATAACTTGGTAGCTTCACAGAAGTGTGTGATTCACTCTTCTGTTTCATTTCTAACTTCCAGGCTGAATATTGTCTGCCTTATTTCCTACTTTTGCACTCCAATTACTGATCATTATCAACACATCCTATTTCAGTATGTGATCAATTTCCTCCTGGGCACTTCATTTGCATCTGTAGTTGGACCATAAGACTGCCTGATAACAAGAGAGTTGGCTGAGAACAAGAGAGTTTTGCAGCACCTTGAGACTAATAAAGTTTATCTGGTGTAAGGGTCTGTGAACTATACTTCACTTTTTAATGTTACAACTTTAGCAAATAAACATTTATTTATTTATTTATTTATTTATTTATTTATTTGTTTGTTTGTTTGTTTATTTGTTTGTTTAGCTTATATGCTGCCCACACTAGTGGAAGTAAGAATTAGCAAAATAAAAGATCTGGCATTCTCATAGTCATTCTTTTACCTTACTCTAAGGCAGTGACTGGACAACAGCGGTAAATTACCCCAACTGGGGTAAAAATGAAAATCCTGGGGGTAATGAGTAGAGCGTTACCCCCTCACCTCCACCCCCTGCAGCCAAACCTCACACTGTAAGCCACCTATCCCTGCTACCTTCCTTGGTTGCGGCACTTATAAATCCATTCTTTTAGAGATCGTAGATAAGGCAGCTTTATTGTTTATGGCTGTAGAACAGCCCAGGGCAATCAATCCAGCTTGTGAATAACTACTTCCGCCAGAGGTGACTGCAAGCAGGAGGAGGGAAAGATCCAATTAAGGCAGGAAAGAAGGTGTGAGAGAGGGACAGGTGGCTTCATCAGCTTGTTTAAATGTATGTAGAAAATTGAGAGAGGGAGGGTCTGTGTGTGTATTAGTGTATGTGTGTATGAGAGAGAGACAGACTGACTCAAAACTGAAAAAAGGTACTGATGCAAGGAGGAGGGAAAGCTTCAATTAAGGCGGGAAGGAAGGTGCGAGAGAGGGACAGGTGGCTTCATCAAGCTTGTTTAAATGTAATGAGATAAAAGGGACATACTGAAGTGAAGCAACTGATTGTTGAAAATTGAGGGAGGAAGGGTTTGCTTGTGTGTGTGTGTGTGTGTGAGAGAGAGACAGACACAGAGAGACATGACTTTTTCATAAAACCATGAAAAAAAGAACCTTCCAAAGTTAATTTCCACTGCATTTAGCTCTGCAGCTTCTGCTAAGAACAGCAGAAGTCTGAAGTGTGTAGCAATTGCATTTCTCTATTTCTCATCCCCAAAGCAGGCAAGAGTATCATAGTTTATTCCCAAAATCTGAATCCCAGTTTTTCTGCTCCTGGTCCTACACTGACTGCAGCACCAAACAAAAAACTGTGGGTTTCTTTATTGAGTCAATCCATCTCATGTGCAGTCTTCCTCTTTTCCTACTGCATTGCACTTTTTCCTGCATTGCTGCCTTTTCCAGTGAGCTTGTTTTCTTATGATGCCACTGTAGTACAGTACCCTTTGTTTGGTTATTTTAGCTTCAAGTTAAAGTCCACACTTAATTTGCTTCATCTTTCTGACAAGTCATGATATCTTTAAAACTCATTTCCAACGCTAAATTTCAAATAAGTTAAATGAGTGTATAGAGTTTATGTAGTGTATAAAATGTGTATTAAAAGTCTGCACTCCAATATACAGCTGTTTTTCTGAGGGTGGTTTACTTTGGAGGAAACAATTCCAGTATTTCAATATACTTGACAAGCTTTATAAATTTTGTTGTTTAATCTTTAAGTTGTGTCCGACTCTTCGTGACCCCATGGATCAGAGCATGCCAGGCCCTCTTGTCTTCCACAGCCTCCCAGAGTTTGGTTAAATTCATGTTGGTAGCTTCGGTAACACTCTCCTACCATCTCCTCCTCTGTCATCCCCTTCTCTTGCCTTCACACTTTCTCAACATCAGGGTCTTTTCCAGGGAGTCCTCTCTTCTCATGAGATGGCCAAAGTATTGGAGCCTCAGCTTCAGGATCTGTCCTTCCAGTGAGCACTCAGGGTTGATTTCCTTCAAAATGGATAGGTTTCTTCTTTTTGCAGTCCGGGGGGCTCTCAAGAGTCTCCTCCAGCACCACAATTCAAAAGCATCAATTCTTCGGCCGTCAGCCTTCTTATGGTCCAGCTCTCACTTCCATACATCCCTAGTGGAAAAAAACATAGCTTTGACTATATGGACCTTTGTTGGCAAGGCGATGTCTCTGCTTTTTAAGTTGCTGTCTTATTTCTTCTGGCAATCTTAATTCCAGCTTGGGATTCCTCCAGTCCAGCCTTTCGCATGATGTACTCTGCATATAAATTAAATAAGCAGCCTTGTCATAGTCTTTTCCCAATTGTTGACTATGAGGGCTACTCCAGTTGTTCCATATCCAGTTCTAACTGTTGTTTCCTGTCCCACATATAGGTTCCTCAGGAGGTAGATAAGGTGGTCAGGCACTCCCATTTCTTTAAGAACTTGCCATAGTTTGCTGTGGTCCACACAGTCAAAGGCTTTTGTGTAGTCAATGAAGCAGAAGTAGATGTTTTTCTGGAACTCTCTGGCTTTCTCCATAATCCAGCGCATGTTAGCAATTTGGTCTCGAGTTCCTCTGCCCCTTCGAAATCCAGCTTGTACTTCTGGGAGTTCTTGGTCCACATATTGCTGAAGCCTACCTTGGAGGATTTTGAGCATAACCTTACTAGCATGTGAAATGAGTGCAATTGTACGGTAGTTGGAGCATTCTTTGGCACTGCCCTTCTTTGGGATTAGGATGTAGACTGATCTTTTTCAATCCTCTGGCCACTGCTGAGTTTTCCATTGATGACAATAAAAAAATAGTGCACTGGTCCTTTGATGCTGGGCTGTGGCACCAGGGTGGGTGACATGACCTTTAGCCTGGTTTGTTCCTTTTTGCACACCACACACAGAATGATTAAAGTGATAGGAAACCTCCCCTCCCAACTCTGCCTTGGCTGTCTCTAGCAAGCACATCGTTGCTAGCACCACTCTGGCAGCCACTGATGATGATTAAATCCTCTATGAGCTAGCAAAAATTTAATGCAACTTGCTAGGCATGTTGAACACCTTACTACTCCCTATACCACACCATGGCTGGTGAGCGATGTGTTCCAGCAAAAACAGTGCACATCATTATTAAATTTGGTGCATCCTGCTAGTTCGGTACACAGTCTGTGTAGATTCAATAAGATTTTGAATTGAAGTAAGATATGATTTCCTTCCTTTCAAATCAAGGGGGTAATGTCGGTGTATATAATTTTTTTTGGGGGGGGAAGGTAAAAAAGTTCCCTGATCCCTCCTCTAAGGTCTCCTTTATAAATAAATGTATATAGGAAAATGAGTGACTCTGTCTTGGATCCAAAGTTATATTATGCTAGGACAAAGACAGTTTTAGTCATACATGGCAGTCCTCCTGAAACCTAGAAATTCATTCAGTTCGCTATAGTCCTCATTTCATGATGTTGCAAAAGACTCAAAGTCATGTGCTTCATAGAAAGCTTCAGTAGAGAAGAGCCAAAAATGACAGCTTTCTGAAGCAAATAATCTCTGTTATTTAGTTCCAGAAGAGGCAGGATTTGGTTATCTAAAGTTTTAAGCAGAGTCACTAGATGGCACTATCTATCAACCAGAATTAGTTTACACTTCTATATTTTGTTTTCTAAAATAACTTTTCCCAGAAAATATGGACCTTGTCACTCTTCACTACCTTTTTCAGAGGAAAGATCACTTGCCAGGATCTAGTGAAAAATGTTCCTATACAGCATCATCTACACACCTGTTCCTCTATAGTAATATATCCCAAGAATTCTCTTAAAGCAGTGGTTCCCAACCGTGGGTAAGCCAGGTGTTCTTGGACTGCAATTCCCAGAAGCCTTCACCACCAGTTGTGCTGCCCAGGGTTTCTGGACGCTACAGTCCACTGTGTTAAAGGATAAAGTTATTAACTACCAAATAGAAAATGCTGGTAGAATATTTATTCAAGTGGGTATCTATTCAATAGTTCTACACGGGCTTGGAAGTGAAATCACAAAAGAAAAAAAAAGTTATGAGTAGCACAGTATTAAAAAAAGAGAGGAAGTTGAGACCTGCTTGCCCAACTATCCCTACTCAAGAATTTAGCAATATACACTTACAAAAGCAAAAGGTTTTGGTCTATGAGTGATTATGGTATGTGAAAAGAAAGGAAGATTTTTTGCTGTGGGCTAATTACATTACATGAATTCTTAAACTTCTTCAAATAAAACAAGTATGTGGACCAATGCAAACCAGTGGAAACAATCTCATAAAACATTCCTCAGAAGCTTAAAACCTCTAGGACAAAAAAGTGGATAAGATTAATACTAACCACAGGATAGGAAATGAAGGGTGTTGACAACTAGCCTGTTTTCATAAAAGAAGAGTATGAGTAAATGTAAATGACATGGCCAGCATAATCTTGAGCATGTTAAAGATTTATATCCTGCTGCACTCAACACAGGGTTTGTTTGTTTTGTGTGTGTTTGATAGCAAGGTAGTTTGAAATTGATGCCTAAGCATGCAAGAAAGAGTGAATCCACTATCTCTTGGGGTTCAATAACAGAAGATGGCTAACATTATCAGTCAGAATTGTCTACCTCTTGTTTCTATTGTTGTTATACAGTGTGCAGGGATGGTAATATGAGGAAAATAAGATGCTGATCAGGAATAATTGCTTGACTTAATATAATGCAGATCTGATATAATGAAAAATATGTAATCTATGTTTTTTTACTCATAAATTTCCTTTATTTCTCATACTCTTGTATTCTTTCATCATATCATCAAATAGGCTTCTAGCCACCTCAGAGCCTGGGCACTGGAAGGTCTGTTGGATTATGCTCTTCCTGCCATCTTGCAGGCTTAACAGAACTTAGCCAGAATACTATCAGTGTCTGCATAATGTTTGCATAATTTGCTACAGCCAGTTGTAGCTAAATGGCAAGGTGCTGGGGCACAGATTGATAACACAACCAGATGCATGACCAGGCACACAACCAAGATGTATTTGATAATTAATTACTTAATTAATTGGCCAAAATTAGCCATGATGAGTTATGGCTAATTTGGATTTTGGCTACTATTTATCTGTACAGGAGCTCCCTTTTTGGAAAGGCATGCGCTGCTGTTTAGATTCAAGGCTAGGAAAGATGTTTCAACAACTTAAACAGATGTGCAGACTAGCTTAACACCACAGCTTTCGAAATATAATCACACACACACATATGTAAATGTAACAAATCTGAGGCATCAACAATTGCATCAGCTGCATTTACAGAAATGCATCTATAAAATGTTTAACCAATACACTCTTAACCTTTGCTAAACTTCATGCAATATGTTCTATAAAGTCTCCAGAAAAGGGGCATCCTTAGTATAATGCATAGCTTTATAAACTTATACTCACATTATTGCAGTCTGCTAGGAAATACAGTGCAAATCCATCAGCATTTGTAGCTGCCAAACCAATAATTAAAAAAAAAACATTAAGGAGAACAATATACTATTATTGACATTTCTGGGCACCATAATTAGCATACCTACCTACTTTTAATATTTAAAATGTAAGTCACTAAAAATGGGGAACTAAATACAAAATTGCAAAAATAATTCATAAATATGCTACATGAACTTGTAATACAATTTCTATAAAATATGCACAATTATTTCTATTAAAATACTCTATTTGTAAGCTGCTACAAGAAAAATGAGCTGATTATCCAAGTTTCTATCAGCTCACAACAGGCATATTAGTACACTGATCTTGCTTTCTTCCAGGATTAAACAATAGTTTTAATAGAAATGGGAAAACACATTAAACATATACAAGTGCATTCTGAAGAAAACTAGAAAAAACTGAGCAGAACTTCTACTTCTAAAGGGGAAGCTAAGAGACAGTCTATGTGTTCAACAGCTCCATTCCAGGTTAAACTTTCTTGTTTATCACTGTCATCCCATCATTACTGTTAACTGTCCTGCAGTTCATCACAATAATTAATTCCTTTTATTCTTTGCATCAAAAATTAGAGACCTCACAGGAAAAAAAATCAGTGAAAACTGGCATCATATGAAGACAATTTCAGATGCAAAATTAATTAGTTGACATAACTTTTTGCATTACTGTTGTTGTTGTTGTCATTGTTAAATTAAACAAACATTTATATCTTTCTATAGCTAAAAAAAACACATTCAAACATCTGTGACTTGTTTTAGCCAATAACCTCAAATGACTTGCAGAGTTCCAACTACATAATCTTGAAGAATGAACATTCTCATAAAAATTTAGGGTTTTAAAAAAACACAGCCAGCCAGAAATGCAGTGATTAGCACCAACCTGGCCACCATGTACTCACTAATAATATAGTCTCTCGGTTGTTGTGGGTTTTTCAGGCTCTTTGGCCATGTTCTGAAGGTTGTTCTTCCTAACATTTCACCAGTCTCTGTGGCCGGCATCCTCAGAGGCCAGCAGTCGGCCACAGAGACTGGCTAAACGTTAGGAAGAGCAACCTTCAGAACACGGCCAAAGAGCCCAAAAAACCCACAACAACCATTAGATCCCAGCCGTGAACACAAATGCAATATAATCTCTTTCTTTCTCTCTCTGTTTTAATTCCTGCTGCTCTCATGTAATCTGCCTGGCATAGAATATGATCTACAACTCTATATTCATTCTCTAACATTGTTACTGGTGGAGATATTTTGCCCAAATGCACAACAGTTATATAGCAAATTATGAGTGTAGTGCAAGATCTGAGAACTCAACTTCAACATTTGTGTTTTAGTAAGCTTGGGTACAAACAAACTCTTGGTACATTATTAGTATAACAAATAATGAAACATTAGGACAGCTTTAACATCACTCTGTAATCAAATAGCATTTATAAATACACAACAAGCATTTCATATTCCTTTGTAACAGTATCTAATAATCAGAGTTTTAGTGAAAAGTCTAAAATGGAAGAATAAGGGTAAACATAATAATCATAAAATCAGTGGGTGCCTGCAAATTTAAAAAAAATTAAAACTGGCTAAAAATTATGGCTCACAGTTAAGTTACACACACATTGGCCAAATCATCTTGTGTAGCTATGCAAATAGCATAACATTTGGAGGCAAACTGCTCCAAGTTAATAAGTCACTGTAGGCACACTGAGTCACAGAACTCTGCACGTAACTGATAATGTCTATGTTGATTTCTTAGCTTGAGGAAATTTACCTCCAAAAGTCAGGTCATCTGTGCTATGCTAAAATAAGCCGGTCAGAGGATTTGGGCCATTTTTTTCCAGTTATAACAGCCAACTATACTTGCCACAAAATTACTTTTTTTTTTCAAAGTATACAAAATTAGAATTTCATTTTTAGTGGGGAAAAAAAACACTTCAGCACATTTAGTTCACTATAGAGCACAATGAGGGAAGAACTCTGTTTTCCATTTTTATAAAGTGCTCTGCACTATTGTTTGAAAAGGCCTTCAGGAACGTTTTCCCCCCTCAGGTAGTAGGCTTGACCCGTGGTTTTAATTCTATCAAAGATGGGTATTGCCACTACTTGTATATTAATTCAATTATTTAGTTATTTAGGTTAATGTTTTGAGTTTGTTTTATCTTCGTGTCTTTTTATCTGGAAGGTGGAATGGTTTGTGGGGGTTTGTTTCTTTGTTGTTTTTGTCTTGATCATTTATGGTTTTGTATATGACCACCTAGAATTGTAGATTTTCACTATGTGGGGCAGTATAAAATAGATTGATTAAATAAATAAATAAATAGTAGAGCTCTCTAGCTTTACCTTCTGAGTAGTCTGAATTACTATGGATATTTATTCTAAAGTGAGATCATTTAGGGAAATATATTTGACTTATATATAATACTATTGTAGTATTACTGTAGAGGAGCTTTTTGGCTCTGATTCCATTTTGAGTTAAGATCCAGGGTACATACAGCCTTTCTTTAATAATACAGTAAATATATTATCAAAACAAACAAAAAACACTGCACAGCTTACTTTGAACACAGAATTATTTTCTTACCCATTCGAATGATACTACTCAATTCATATAATAATAGTTGATTGTTCCCTCCTATATCCAACCGTTGTTCTATATAGCTGTTCAATTCATATACCACTCCTTGCATATCAGAATTCTGGTACTAGTAAAAAGAAACACATATTTTAGAACTACCAATCATATTTTATGCCAAGTATAGTGTATCCAGTATTATAGTAACAACTATAAGCATTGCAAGGATGAAACGGCAATTCAAATTCTGTACTCCAAAACCCTAATCCTCTACACTGTCTTTTCCAAAGCATGCATATCCTCTCGGCTTCTGCTTTGTTAATACTGTCAATGATTCTAGAATTACTATGGTTATACTTGCAACTATGTACATGGAGGTGGCAATGCTAGCTAAAAACTTATATTTGTTTCAAGAATGGCAGGATTTCTATACCAGTTTTTAGACTGAATACTGACCAGAAAAGGTCAGTACTGTATTCCTAAAAAGACGCAACAATATTTTCTTGAACTGTACAGGTTTAACTGTAAGCTGATACAAGCTAAGAAAGATAAAAGTCAAAACTAATCTAAGATTTATTGAAAAAAGAAGCACAAGAATAACAACTTTTCTGAATGCAAAATTTTAAACTACCTGTACTCTTCTAATTATTAGAATATATTATTGAAAAGTGATTTTTAAAATTATATTTCCATTTTAGCATGATTTAAATAAAACACTGCATTTTTAGCACCTGGTTTCTTTGCAGTTTTATAACAATGTGACAAAAGTTCTTTGAAGTTCATAACCATGATATAATTATAGCAATTGAGCCACCTGAGATTTAAATTCATAAATTAAAATTAAGAATGCTTTTAACAAATGACAGCAGAACAAAGACTGAAAGCTAAGATTTTTTTAAAATGACAGTTTTCAACTTAACAAAAAGATGTTGATTTCATTTAAAGGCTAATAAGAGAGAGATGGGGCAAGTTTAGAACTCTAAATTTAGAGCTTAGGGTAAGGTGAAGTGGCCTTCAACTATGCTACCATTATATATAGTATTAAGATAAAGAATTTTAGGATTGTAAAGCCCATGTTTCCCATGTACTCCAATAATAATTTGTCTCTCTTTCTCTCCAAGACTTATTGTCCTGTCAGCTAGCTGTGGAACCATTATGGGTTTTCATTCAAGTTTTGTTTCGTTGTGATTGTTCAGAGTCACACCCAGGAACCGTTGAATGGAGAAGCCTTGGGGAGGTCAAGCCAGTATCATTACATTCATTCATTCATTCCATTCATACCCAGCCTATCTGTTCATCGCGAACACTCTAGGCGGCTTACAACATAACATATAAAACAAGCACATATATAACATAATTAACATAATTAGAAAAAAGAAATTTTTCTCCAAGATGGCGAGAGAACAAGATAAATTATAATAGACAAAAAGGGAAGAAAAATTAAGAATTAACTGGAAGGTGGGGAAGGCCTGCCTAAACATCCATGGTTTCAGTTGTTTCTTAAAACTACTCAGCGAACCTGCTAACTAACTACTGTACCAGCTATTGATGTGGGGATCCCAGGCTTCTCCATGAGAACTGTATGTCTCTCTGGAACTGGAAGGTCAATTGGAATGTCAGAGCAGTTCTTTTTTAAAGTCTGGATACCTCACAAATTGAGGAGGTGAGTGGATGGATATATTCATATTTCAAAAATGGGGGAAGCTGTTCTTGTCCTCAAATGCTGGTGTAATTTCTGGGGGTGCAAATAGCAAAAAGGAGTCTAGGAAGGGCCACTTCAGTGAAGACAATGAGGCATAAAACTAATGTCAGAGACCAAATTCATTAAGAATAAATGGCATGGAATGGAAGAACACAGCTCTTCACTTCTCATTCTTTTGAGTCCTCACATCCTTTCCCCACAGTGTGAAACTGGTAACTGGCTTTTGTGAAAGAAGAACATCAGCTCAAGAATTAAGCAAGTGTTCACCGGAAAATTATTGAATAGACAAGTATGTGCAGTATAAATGCATTATTAATAGGCATGATAAGTTGTACAGAATAGGCAAAGTTTCTACACTTACAGGCTAAATACTAAAAAGAATGGGTAAAATCCAAGCAGGAAACCTGAAGAGTAAATATGTCTGAAAGCCAAGGAGGAGAAGTTAAGCAAGCAGACAGAACTAAATCAGTGATTTGTAACTCTAAACAGTGCATATAGATATGCCTTCAGCATGAATTAAAATAAGCAACATCAATCTTTAATTTGTCTTACTTTTATTTCAAATAATATTTTTGTTGCCTTGGGACTCATTTAAATGGAAAAAAACACTCTTGTAGATTTTTCTGGAAAAGAACTCGTTTCTGTGATTGTCACAAAGAATTCTCTATACTTCAAAGGACTATAATTGCATGTTTCCTTGAAGAAGATATAGCATCTAAACATTTATAGTGTGTGTGTGCTAGGTTAGAATGTCTTCTTCCCTCTAATTTTTCTGCTGTCAAGCAAAAAACTAGTTACTCAGGCAGGCCTTTGGTAACTGACCTCACTTGCTGAGGAAGGGGATTTTAACTGGATGGATACTGACTTTTAATTTATTAGAAGCTAAAAAAAATCTTACTCATTTTATGTTTTAATTGCACTTGTTTTTATTTGTTAGCTGCCCTGTACTTGTTCCTGGGGAAAAACTACTACTTTTATTAAAAGTATATTTTTCTGCTATCTCTTTAAGACTACTTTTATTACATAAATAAAATTAATTAATAAATAAATAAATTATTAAATAAATAAAAGTAGTCTTAAAGACACAGCAGAAAAATATGTGAGAAAACAGTGAGACAAGTGCACCAACAGATAATCATATTTTATTGCAAGCACATAAATAACCACAGGCATGCTGGAATAGTTTTATTGTTTACAAAGAATTTGGCAATGGCAAACCAGAACCAGGATTATAGGAAATACAATACCAGTGTTCAATGACTGAATTTCACTGCACTGTATCTCAACACACAACATCAGTTCAGAGGCATGTCTGTTAAAATGCCTGCCCTATCAAAGAATCATATAAAATAAAGATGTGTGCTGACTTTTCCTGCCCAAATGCATTTATTTACTACAATTCTATACTATTCAATAGCCAGAATTCTCTAGGAAAGTCACAGAACAGGTGAAGCCATTGAATTAAAGAATAAAATACAAGTGAATTTTATCTTCGTATTCGTGAAGGCTTTCACGGCCGGGATCCAATGGTTGTTGTGGGTTTTATGGGCTCTTTGGCCGTGTTGTTCTTCCTTACGTTTTGCCAGTCTCTGTGGCCAGCATCTTCAGAGGACAGCACTCTG